CACACACACACACACACACACACACACACACACACACGCAGAGGACGAGAGAGAGAAAAACAAAGAAGAGAAAAGAAAAGGGGGTAGAAAAGGGATATTAGATACAGAGAGGTAAGTTATGTGGGGGAAGGGGTCTCAGGGTGGAACATGGAAAAGGGGACATGTTTGTGTGAGTTATTGAGGAACGTTTTTCGAACAGGTAAATGATAAGTAGTTGGCGAACAACAGGTCCAGGTAACAAAAAGGGGACATGTTTGTGTGAGTCATTGAGGAAAGTTTTTCGAACAGGTAAATGATAAGTAGCTGGCGAACAACAGGTCCAGGTAACAAAAAGGGGTGCTTTGGAAGAAGGAGAGGGAAAGCAAAGACAATAAAGACTTCATAAAAGAGGAGAAATGTCTTGCGCTGAACATGACTGTGACAAAAAAAAGGAGACACTTATCATCATCAACAAAAGCCGGTAAGCGACCGTCTTTGCCGAATCAAAAGTGAGGCACGAACTTAATATCAAACACGCTAATAACAAAAATGTGAGGCATCGTGGTGGAATCAGGCTCTCGTCAATTTTTGGGCATGTGGAGTTATTGGTATCATCTTAAAGCTTGTTTACTTGTCTTTATTTGGTTGAAAAAAATATCCATTTATCTTGAATACAAGTTCGAGATATTTGCGAATGAAGGAGGTGGGGGTCACCTGTTTTCAGAGGTAAAGTTGGTGAAAAAATGGCCGCCAAAGATTAGTTATTTCCTTAGCTTAAGAGTCTGTGGTAACTAAAAATATATTTTTTTTCGTGCCTTTATTCAACGTTTTTCAGAAAAATCCACACAGAAATGAGTTCTTTAATGGGCATGAAAGATGTTTAGCCAAAATACTAAAATTTGATAAAAATTCACAAACTGCGGAAAACTGCAAGTTTCTTCACTTTGATTATTTTGACGAGAGCCTGATTCCACCACGCTGCCTCACAAATCTACTTTGTGGTAAATACAACAAAACTAAAATTAAACAGAAACATAGGGAGAATGAGCCCCATGGAAGGAGACATAGTGATACTAGTTTTTTGTTGAGTTTATCATTATAATTTCATCTTTAAAAAATAATTTGCTGATGTAAATTCAAATGTAGGCATTCTTTGACACATTCGACATCATTTTTATTATGTAGAAGGCGGGCTGCCTTCAATCCTAAGCCGCCAGGCAGGGCTAGCTCGTGTTACTAAGAGGGACATAACAGCCAAGTAGATAGACCGAGATGACGATACACACATACACACTCAACTTTGTACATACACATACACTCACACTTGCAAACACATACGCACTCAACAGTGCACACACACACACACACACACACACACACACACACACACACACACACACAC